TGTATTGTTTACTGACTGCTTCATGGTGTATGTAATTTTGAGTGATTTGTTCATGATTTGAGAGTAGTGTTTGATTTTGAGCACAGCTAAAACTGTTTTGAGGCGAACGTTTGATTTTGCAAGAGGAATGCGAGGTTGTGTAAATCGTGCTTGAAGCTGAGGTTTTGTGTTTAATGTTTTGAGAAAAGGGAGCAAGGTTTCAGGAATTGTGCTTTAGCAGTTGAGAAAAATTGTAATGAGCATCAGAGACACGCGACTTCAGAGCTAGCTCTGGGGAAAGGCCTCAGCCTGGACCTCACGTTAATAGATGTGCAGCCATTTTGACTGAACTATGGGTGTGTCCTCTGTGTTTGTGTTTGGATCTTAATCATCAAATAATTTGGACAAAGAGGGCAAACTGTGCTTATTGACTGCACTAACAGATCATCCAAGCAGTTTCTGCTTCTGTTTATCAGTAAGTAAAATTATATTTCTGTACTTTATTTCACTGGTTGAATGGGGGGAAATGCTGCTTGCTCAAAGTCGGGTTGAAATATAACGTGTTGGTGGGGCTGGCTGACTGGGTACCGGAACTCGTATGCTGCTAGCTAGCAGGGTCTTCGAGGCTTCGCTGCGCGGTCAAACATTCACGAGGTTCTCTCTGAGCCAGGAACAGCTGCTACCCACCACAAGCTCCCATCTTCCAAGGGGGTCGCGTCTGCCTGGCTTCCATGCTAGGTTTTAGTTTGCTGTTCAACTGTGGAGGTCTCTGAGGGAGTTTACAGAAACACCACTGCTCTTTGAGTTGATTTCGCTTTACCACATTTCTCTCGCTAATAGGGCCTGAGAAACCTCCGTTAGCTTGAGTTAGCGTGTAGCTAATCTCCCGCTGATTTCCGACAGAGGCAGAGCATGACCTCACGTAAGCGGCCAGGGTGCCCGGCTCCAATCACAGTGGTCTGAGGCTCTGCTTGTATTTTAACAGACAGGATAATAATCAGAATCAGAAGGGTTTTATTGCCATTTGTGCGAGAATCACTGTGGTACTTACACCTCCATATTGAAGCTACTAGCATGACAGGCTCACACGGAAGCCAGGTGGCCGTGTGGGTGGGCTATCCTGAAGGTCATTCTTGGCTTCTTGGGTTAGCTAAGTTAGCTAGTGGCTACATTATTTAATTTGGTTTCAACCCTGTTCCAATCGTAACAGCCCCACATATTTTCCCAATTTTGGACTCTCTGGGTGTGACGAGACCTGTGACACGGCCAAAATAGCAGTGGTGGGAACCTCCCATTTGGCTTCAAACTTGTCTCCCACTGAGCAATGGGTGGGATATCTCCATCCTTTTTATATGTGATGGTAGCTCACTCCACACAACCAACGTGGGTAATATTAGTACATAAACAGTTTTATTTTTGTTTTAGCTAAATACATGTTCTGTGTTCAATTTTGTACACTGTACTGTAAATCTATCTGATATTCACTTATAGCGTTGTTGTTGTTAGCCTACCTGATATGAAGTCATTGCTGCAGATTTGAGCATTTTTAATGATCTGCTCTTTCCAGTCACTCCTTCTGATAGCTTCTAACTAAAGATGTCTTTTGTTTGCGTTGAAAGGGTTGTGAGTCTGCGAGTTGATTGAATTCTGTAAAACTTGCGTGATTTGTTGTACGTACAAAAGCGATTGGTACTACAACAGCACAAGACATGATTGTTGATCTCTTACAGCAACACACAAGCATTAGAGCGGGAGGTAATGTGGACCAATAAGGTGCCTGTAGTCTAGATTGCTAGCTGAAGCTAACAGCTAGCTGGTGCTAGTAGGGGCCCAGTTTACCGTGGCTCTGTGGTAGCATGAAGTGGGTTGGAACATGTAGCTGTAGAAGGAGTGGTTACCTTGTGACGTGACTAGGAATGCTTGTTCAGAAAACGAGTTTTTCTCTCGCCTTTTTCTACTTTCTGATTTACGTTAAAAGTAGCCTAGGTCACACGTCTTTGATTTTTTTGGCATGCTACTTTTGATCCGTCTTCATTCAACAACAACAAGGAAAATGTTGGTTTACATTCTTGCTCTCTTTCAATAGTTTTTAATGCTTTATAATGCACAAAGTAATGTTAATAATAAACCCTTATTGTAAAGTGTTACCAAAATGTTATTTTTATTTTATTCTGTCAAGTTGTATTAATGTTGTTCTTGAATTATATAAAACTGTGCTGCTCTGGGCGGCTGCATGTTGGAGTAGCTCTGTTGACTATAAGTTTAGCCTTTTCTTGGGTATTTTTTCTTCTAGTTTCTCAAGAAAAACAATTTTTTTGGACACTTTACTTTTCTGTTTCTGGTGAAGCTTGGAGGATTTTTACTGCTATTTTTTAAACTTTTTTCACTTTTTGAGCATTTGTTATGATGCGTAACCATGGCAACAAGCTGGTTTACAACCGGGAGCAGCTGATTAACATTGGAAAGGCTGAAATGATACCTCGACTGAAACCACAAATCCCAAATGAGCTAAAACGCAAGAAGCGTGGATGCAGAGTGGGAGCAAAATGGAGACAGAGAAAGAGGAAATTCAACCCATCTCTTCCATCGATCATAATGGGCAATGTGAGATCACTGGCCAACAAGATGTAGGAACTCCAAGCCCTTTCAAGGTCTCAGCCAGAGTTTCGGCAGTTTTGGAACCACTGGAGGAGATAATGCAAAGACGGATTCTCCAGAGAATCAAGAAAATAATGGACAACCCTGAGCATTCTCTTCACAAGAATGTCCGACAACGGAAGAGTGTCTTCAGTCAGAGGCTTCTTCAGTTTTGCTGCAACACTGACCGCTACTGGAGATCCTTCCTGCCAACAGCCATTGTAATATACAATAACTCTTTGATGACTTGATTATTATTGTTATTCTGAACTACTACAGCAATCAATTTCCCTCTGGGATTAATAAAGTATTTTTGAATTGAATTGAACTGAATTGAACTGCAGCATTAAATGATTGAAACTATGTAAATTAAACACAGATATAGTTTGCTAATATATACAGTAAGAAATGAAATGTTGAATTTATTTAACCAAATTCTGTCAACTAGTTCCAAAACAAAGTAGTGTAGTGCAGCCTTTCTCAAATGGGGGTACGCGTACCCCTGGGGGTACATAAAGAAACTCCGGGGGTACGTGAGAAAATGTACATTCATTTAAAAAAACAGTATCCATGGAAAATCTTTAAAAAAAAGAATTATTTAATAAATATTTTAGGAAAATATAAGTAAAAGTTCATAAAATGTGTTTTATATTCAGTAGAAGTAGGCTAAATTCATTATCCCAAAATCCCAGAGTCCTCCCCCCAATGCTTTTGCGCTCATTAGGGGGTACTCGGCTGAAAAAAATATTTCAAAGGGGGTACATCAGTCAAAAAAGGTTGAGTACCACTGGTGTAGTGGAACCAGTTGACATAATTTAGTTAAGTAAATTCAGCATTTCTTTTCTTACTGGCTGTTTTTTGAACATGGGCAGTAATTTTTCCTTCATTATTGTCCAATAGTTGTGTAAATTTAAATATTGAAATTACAAATATAAAAAGCTGTGCTATATTTTAGTACATGTAAACTAATGTTAGCTTAAGTGAATACTTTTAGATAAGTAGGTATTTTTGCTGAACGTGGGCAGTTATAAAGAGAACAGTTGGAAAAACAGATGACTTACTGTAATCAGCTTCCATTCTAGAGAAAAGTGTGTTTTTAGCTTTCAGAGTAAAAACAGTTAAAACAGCCAGGATACAACAGCCTCCGCCTCAAACTACTTGTAGATAAACCGTTAAACTTTTTGCAGTCTTGTCTAAGAAACACACTTCCTTTCTGTTTATCAGGACAAGTAGAAGTCTCACACACACACACACACACACACACACACACACACACACACACACACACACACACACACACACACACACACAACCCTTTAAAACTGCCAGCAAGAATCCATAATTGCTGTAAAAATTGTTTTAGCAACATTTGAAGAAGTTTTATTCCATTAAAATCTTGATTTTTTTTAAACTGACAATCTCTGATGTTTTATCTGTTTATGCGTTCCACGTGTTTCTACAAAAGACAAGAAATGACCCCAAACCTCTGAGTGTTTTTATCATGTTCTCATCTTGTTGACCTGAAGATGTTTCAAATGTCAAGAAATGATTTGTTTCATTTGCTGTTTTCAGACTTGAGTTCTAACAAAGCTCCAACAATCTGATGGTTTCAGCAAAAACTATTCATGTTTTGGGGAATTAGTGCAAAATATATCAAACAAAGCTGCTCAGAGACCATTTTCTCTGACTAATTCTCTCAATAAAAAGGATAACATCACTTTGTCCACACATGGTGAGTTTTTACTTCTTTAAAAACGGGTGTAAATAATCAACATTTGGAGGTGGAGGGTGGAGGTCAAAGAGGCGCCTGAATGGTTTAAGCATCCCTGACCACCTCCCACTGGTGGCCCTCTAACAGGAATTACAAACAGATGGTTGAGAAAACACACATACATACAAACACACACACACACACACACACACACTGATTGAAGTGTTGGGCCTTGCAGCTGTCCCTCTGAACCAGACCCAGGCTGGTTTGTCATAAAATACTTGAACAAAAGTTTATTGATATCTAAAACAGACTTTCTCACACCTTTAACCTTCTAAACTTTCTTATCACGTGCCTGAGAGTGTGTGATCTATTTATACTCACCGACTCCATGCCGAATGCCACAGGGAACTGTTCTGAGGTCTTTCTGACACTTTTTTATTCAGAAGCATATTTCCCTTTAAAGGTCCTAAATTTGTCAGCTTCGCTTCCCTGATGAGAAACACTGACTCACTTCCTAGCAACATGAGAAACCCTCATTAAGAACATCTACATTTATAAGGTTATATGAATCTGATCATTTAGTCTTAAGGAAGGTTTATGATAACTGCAGCACCATGGACAGTTACCACACAAAACAAACAGGCCTCACAGAAAGTCTAATAAATCTCACCTTCTTTAGATTTTTTCTTACGGATCAACGTTCCTCCTAATTTTCCCAAGAAGGACTCTTCCTTTTTCATTCTGGTGGACTGCAGGTTGGCAGATGTGCTCGGAGTCAGAGACATGATGTTTGTGAGATCACTTTAGTCCGTTATTCAGCTCACTCCTCCCTATGCTGCATTCAGGGGGCGGAGAACAATCTAATCACAGCACACACACACACACACAGATCCATCACAAGAGGCATCTGTTACTGACTCACACTGGAGGAGATTCTTCCTTCAGCCACAGCGCCCCCTGTAGGTCAGAGTAGCAGCACCTACGCTCTGCAGCCAGCTTTTAGACCCAAGAGGCTCCTTGTACGGTAACTTAAAGGAATCGCTAAAGCATGCTGAGCACATTAAAGCCACTGAGGAAAAAGCAGGGAGGAAATGTTGAGAAAATTCTCAAAATACACACACCTCAAAATTAAATTCAATCTTTTGTTGCAAGTACAACTCCATTCGGTGACAAGAAGAGCACCTTTTAGGGGCAGAGAACTCCAAAGTGCTTTATACTTATTTAGTGTATCATTCATCCAGTCACACACCGAGGTGATGAGCTACAGCAGCCCTGGGGGGCTCTGACAGGTGAGGCTTCTGAGAACAGGCACCATCAGTCCCTCTGACCGCCACCTGCAGGCAAAGTGGATTAAGTGTCTTGCCCAAGGACTCAACAGCAGAATTCTCTGTCAGAAGCCAGGATCAAACCCACAACCTTCCGATTAGTGGACAACCTGCTCTACCTCCTGAGTTACTGCTGTCCGATAAAAATCAGGAAAGCACGACAAGAAGGAAAGCAGCTGAAGAGGTCTGAACGCTTTGGTGCAGAAAAGTTGGACAGAAAACGTTTTTATTCTCATTTTGCATTCAAAATTCTTTATTAGCTAAACAATGAAAAAGATTACTAAATGTACAAATTACATTTAAAATATGTCAGTAAAATTTTAGTCTAAAAATGATTTAAATAATAAATCATTAATAATTCAGAGAGCAGCTAATGTGCTAGTGTGTTCTTGAGAGGGGTTGTATAAAAATCTTCTGCTCCTTCTAAGATCACATGTGTAATGAAAGTTGGGAAAAAGTGCCAAAAATATTTCACATAATTCATCTGATCCTTGGAAAAACAACAGGAGCGGAACAATTTCTGTTATTGTTTTACAGCTAGATTTGAGATTAGACTTTATTTTCAGCTTAGTGGATGTTTGATGAAGACTAATGCTGAACAGCTCCTGATGTGTATTCACTTGTTGTCTGCAAAAGTTTCCAGTCAGCCTGCAGTCGGCGCCTCAGTCTTTCCACAGCATCTACATCCTCTCTGTCTGGGGCCTGAAGGGTTTCCAGAGGAGGTGCTGGATCCCCGAGGAGGATGGAGGCTGTAGGACCCACACATGAATTCTCCTTCTCCTGGAATAAAAAATAGGAAAATACATCCCAATAAACCAAAACTAGAGCAGACACTTGAATTAAGACACACTTCAGCTGCAAAATTTAAGTTCCTCTAATCACTTTGATGTAGAACGTGCCCTGGCCTTCTCACCTGCATCAGCACCAGTGTGTGTCCTTTAGCAAAGCTCTGCAGCAGACCGGTTAGCTGTTTCCACACAACGTCACACACTCCACTATCAGGCATCCGGACCAGAACCACAAGATCGGGGTTGTACTCGTATCCAACAGGTAGGAGGAGGCCCAAAACAGCCTGCATGAACCCGGATGTGTTACAGCAACCCTGAAGGACCACAAAAATAAACACAAGACTTTAACGCTTAACCATCACATTATAAAATAATAACAATGGAACAGGTGAATTATCCACATTACCTTCTGTAAACACACCGAAATATAATGTTTGCTCTGCTGTTCCTCTGAGGCATCACTGCTGATCTGAAGCACAAGAACTTTCCTAAAGACAGAAATGTTTTTGATTGTCGTTCTCGCTGTAATTAAGTATTTTTACACGATTTAAATAAAACAAAAATCACCCGTCTCTGGAGATGTGGCTGGGGATCTTCCCGTTACCGACACACACAACCAGAACCCTGCAGCAAGACAGGAGCGACCATCACACGTTTAGTGGTGTTGCATGTCTGGAGGACCTTTCTAACCCTTCCTCAGGTCCACTTCCCTTCACATGTGATGTTTGTTTTAGGCGTTACACCCCTGACATTTTGTTCTAATCTCTTCAATTACAGGGAGGTTAAACACAAAGTTGTTTCCAATCCTCCAAACGAGCATCAGTGGAGGATAAAAATTACTTAGCAGGTTTTGTTTGCAGACAAATCAGAAGTGAAGACGGCATCTGCTCCAGTCCTCGAAACAACACGTATCACCTTTTTCTTTTTGAGTGAGTTTTAAACTAAAACTATCTATGTTAGAGTTCCTTCACCTGTTGAGATCAGGTGAGACGTGTTGGACAACACACATCATGGCCTTGATGACATCACCAACCAGAGCCAAGCCGCTGCCGACCTGAAGAGGAGCCGATATCTCGTTAGAATGCCAGCAAATCAAACCAAAACAAAATGTGTGCTTAGATGATTGAACCAGTGGAACAAAAACACAAAATCATCCTGGTTTTACCTCATTCTTCTCCATTTTCTGCACCAGACTAACGAGTGTAGAGAAGGTAGCCAGAGCATCACCGTCTTCTGCCTCTTGGACCAAATGGTCCCTTTACAAACAGACGTGTTCATGTAGATAATGAAACCATGAGTTAAGCTTGTTCCCTTGAATGGTTCTTACTTCAGTCTGCTGACTACGAGTGGATGGATGTCCTTCGTGATGCGTTTACATCCATCAGGACACGCCACATCATCAGGAAGCACCGAAGCAGCGCGAATAGGAGGACAGGGACGCTTTGGAGGCTCGTGCCAAACCTTCTCCTCCGAGTTCTTTTCTTCCTCTCCCAATTCCGTCTTTTCTTCTTCTTCTACTTCACCTTCTGCTATTCTGATGCGTTTGGTGCTGATGTTTGCAGCTGTTGGACTGGCTAGAGGAGAAAGTGGACAAAAGTCAGATATTACCACTTGCTTTAGGCTTTCTTGCTTCCATTCCTCAGAAACGGTCTCATGTTTGTATTTATGAGAGGCTGAGCACACGTGAAACAAAAAGAATGGCATTCTATGCATTAGGAAGGTTAGTTTACAACTAAAACACCGTAGCTCTGTAAAACACAAAATTCTGTCAACTGGCTTTGTTGTTCGCGTGTCCTGCACAGGTGCTAATCCCACCTGTGTGTTTGAGGCTGCCCCAGTATTGTTTCTGAGCTGATCGGAGACACTGAAGAGACTCGAGCGCGCTGCAAGGCAGAAACAAAATCCCTGCAGTCACACAATCCTCAGACCGTAACGTTCCACTGAGGGAGACACTCACCTTCTACAGGGACCGCTGAGGTTGGCGAGCTGAGGCAGAGGATCTCCCAGTAACGTCTGGACGGTCTGGCACACCGACTGAGGCAGAGAGGTCAAGTTGTATCCTCCCTGGAGCAAAAACATCTGGATTCAAACATGAATGCTTGGAAGAAGTTCTGAATCCTTCAGACAGGGAATTATCCTGTTTTTTTCTGAGTGAGTGCACGTTGTCCAACCTCCAAAACGGCACACAGTCTGCCTCCTGCCAGGTTCATCAGAAGATGAGTCAGATGTGCAAAAATGTCTGGAGTTGCACACATTTCCCCCTGAAAACACAGAAAAACATGTTTTCCATCTTCTGACTCAGATGCTTCTTACGTTCTACCCAGTCAAAAGAAAATAAAACCAGTCAAATTCCTGCAATAGTGCTTCCATGTTGGAATTCAGTAAACTGTATTTTTTTTTTTTACCTCTGGGTCACCGATGGCTGAATCAAAGCCTGCACACACCAACACCAGGTCTGGGCAAAACTGAGACACAGCATCAGCCGGTCAGAGAAGGGTTTTAATAACCACTTCAAACAGGTGAGTGTTTTAGGAATGACTCACCTCATACGCAACAGGCAGCAGAACATGACAGAAGACCGAAAGATAATCACTGTTTTCCATTCCCACCTGAAATAAAAACAAACAGCCTTTGTGACACAAGGGCGAGTTTACATTTGATTTGAACCAGAATGAGGTGCAAGCAAGCAGCTTAATAAGCATCGTCAGACGAAGGAAGCAGTTAAAAACCACCTAAAAGCAAATTTATAACAGACACATCATCATTTATGACAAAATAAAAATAAAGATGAATACAATCAAATCTGAATATGCATCAACCTGAAATTTGACACATTTGGAAGGTATTAAAGCGTAACAGATGATAGTGCTGGATACTCCTGAGTTTAGCCACCTGGTTCCATGGTAGGTTTATATTAAACCCAGCTCCTTTCTCTTTTCCAACACTGTCGTAGTCTGACTCTCTGAGCTGTGGCCAAAATTTCTGGTGTTCATATCGGTGCCACGAAAAGTAGAGAACACTGTTAAATATAAACAAAACAAAAACCAGAATGTTACATTTAAGACAACCAAATATGATTCTGCCTTTACCAAACACTCCCCTGGGATCGTCTTCAAAGCAGTACTGCACCCCCTGACCGTGATGTATGTCCCAGTCTACAATCAGCACCCTGAAAAACAAGCAACTGGCTGCTTTGGAAGAACCCAACAGTAATAAGTTATTAGTGGACTAAACATGCAGGTGAAAAGGTTGGGCTACCGTTTGACTCCATACTTCTGCTTCGCATATCGAGCTGCTATGGCCACATTGTTGAACACGCAGAAACCACTAGCAGCACTGCGCATGCTGTGGTGTCCTGGTGGTCTGTTAACAGAGGCACTTAACATCTCGTCAGAAGTTAGGGTACACAGATTATCAGATAAATTCCACGCCCTATGAATGATTTCTACATCTAATGTGACCCTTTTAATCATTTTACAATAAAATAATCAGGTGAGCTTCTTTCATCGCCAGTAGATCCATCTCACCTGACCAGAGCCATCCCGTTCCTGACCCGCTCCATCATAACACTGTCCACCAGCTGCAGAGCAGAACCTGCAGCCAATTTGGCACAGCGATAGATGTTCTAAAACAGCAAACAATACAGAGCGTGATCATCCCAAACTT